TATATATGTGTGTGTGTGTGTGTGTGGTGGTGTGTCAGTATATATATATATATATATATATATATATATATTGTTTGCCATATCACTAATTCTATCTACCCGTCCCTATATCTACCTGCAGGATTGTCAGACCCCCGCCAATTGCTTCCGGACGGTCGGTGAGACGTCCAACTGCGATTTCTCATCCGATGACTTCTCGCTGGGAATCCAATGCGACGAGTGCGAGCAGGAGTACTATATCAACTCCGAAACCAACGACTGCACTAAATGCACCACCTGCGGCACCGTGGGCAGGGTTACGATACCCTGTGGTCGATACAATGACACTGTGTGTCAGTGTCCGCTGGGAATTACGGGACCAGGGTAAGCAAATAGCGGGACCGGGAAAGCCCGCCGTGTTCCTCACGGGCGTGTGAGCGTTGCCTTGGCTGTGTTTGGTGGAGTTCTGTGAAGTCTTGGTAGAGTGTTTAATAGTATGACCGCGATCGTCGCACCCGTAGCGGCAGGCCATCTAGTTACAATGTATCACACGCGCATGTCGCGCAGATTGTATTTATCGTTCCTTTTTGGCGTTCATGTCGGACGGATTGTACCACATACTCATGCCTAGCTAATCTGGCTTGTATTACATCCTGCAGTGGACTGTGGTCTCATGTATCCCGCACTCATACCAAACCCATCTCTCTTGACTGTCTTTCACGCCCAAGCATCTTTCACTTATCTCTGTAGATGTGAAGTGTCCTGTCAGCCGCCCGTGGGCTGTGCTCTGGTAGACCCCAATTCGCTGAATCAGTGTGTGTTTGACACATCCCGCTACGACCTCAATGTCAAGTGCACGTCGTGTATTGATAAGTATTTTCTCGCGACGTTGCCGCTGGTGCAGCATAGGTGTGTACCCGTTGGGGGTTCAGTGGTCTGTACATCCGTGTATCAGTGTTGTAGCAGTGTTATATATCACATCTTTGCCTGATGTGAAACAACCCGAGCTACGACCGTACTACACCCCGCTACGACTTCAACGTCAAGGGCAACCCCTGTACAGTTGATTATCACTTTACGACGTTTGCCACTGGGTCCAGACTAGGCTCCTTGTGTCGTTTCAAAACCTTAAAACTTTAAACCCTAGATGGCACAAATTCAGTTGAGTTTGAGGTTATAGGCCAATCCCTTTCAATTGAGCGCTGAGGCACTCACGATAGCTACTTTAAATTGTGTGTGACAATTGTCTTGTCGCGTGAGTGTCTGAGGTCGAATGCCGCCTGGGTGTTCAGACAAATATCGAGTGCTATCTATCACCCCATGCATCAGCACATTCACATGCTGTGGTGCAGTCCAGTCATATCTTACTGCACTTTCTTCTACTCATAAGCCTGATATCTTACTGCACTTTATTCCACTCATAAGCCTGATATCTTACTGCACTTTATTCCACTCATAAGCCTGCCATATCTTACTGCACTTTATTCCACTCATAAGCCTGATATCTTACTGCACTTTCTTCCACTCATAAGCCTGATTTATTTCACTGATAAGCCTGCCATTTCTTACTGCACTTTATTCCACTGATAAGCCTGCCATATCTTACTGCACTTTATTCCACTCATAAGCCTGATATCTTACTGTACTTTATTTCACTCATAAGCCTGCCAAATCTTACTGCACTTTATTCCACTCATAAGCCTGATATCTTACTGTACTTTATTTCACTCATAAGCCTGCCATATCTTACTGCACTTTATTCCACTCATAAGCCTGATATCTTACTGCACTTTCTTCCACTCATAAGCCTGATTTCTTACTGCACTTTATTTCACTCATAAGCCTGCCAGATCCGGACGATCCCTTGTTCTCTCTGCAAGCCAGCGTGGAAGACGGCGAAACGTACACCACCTGCAAGAAGTGGCGTGATTGCGAAGCAGACGATCTAATGCTGTATCAGAGGGTAAGGCTTCTATGAGGACGATTTATTTATGTACCAAAGGATAAGGCTTCTGTGAAGACGATTTATTTATGTACCAAAGGATAAGGCTTCTGTGAAGACGATTTATTTATGTACCAAAGGATAAGGCTTCTGTGAAGACGATTTAACTATGTACCAAAAGATAAGGCTTCTATGAAGACGATTTATTTATGTACCAAAAGATAAGGCGTCCATGAAGACGTGTTGTGACTAGACGTGAATCCGATGTCCGTTAAGCAGCAGCATCGGTGCTTTGGTAGTACAACTTTGAGTCGTCGAGTAAACTGGTTTAACTACTTGAGCATATCTATGAATAGTGGTCATTGTGGGTCGGTGCTATGTACCGTTAGATAGGAATTATGTCATGGAGGCCTTGACAGGGATGCTTTCAACTCATCGTTACCATAAGACACCGTTCTTTTCTGAGGATGTCTGAGGCTATGAGTGCCAGGACACACTTGTTAACTTGGCAAATCAAAGTCAATACCGAAAGCACGATGTATCCTCGCCGATATCTCATGCTACAAGTGTTTTGGCACTTATTTACTCAGCAAACTACAATTCATATCGAAAGCCCTACGGGTAGATACTTTCGGTTTATGTGTATTGCTACGAGGTCCTTAACGCGTACCCATGCAACAACTCTCGATCACCGACACTTCAGGGCACCTCATTGAATGATTCGGTCTGCGGAACACCCACTGCCGTCTCACTCCGACTCAGAAGTCCAGCGGAGAGCTCGGGCAATTCCTTTGCCAACCAAGTGTATCTGCAGATGACCCAAACACCGAACACTTACAGGTTTATAGTGTTCGACAGAATGAATGCCGGTAGGTGGCGATGCTTGTACCACACGAGTGTTGCGCGCTGGAGTGTGCATTTATAGTGCGCCTCAATTTGTATAGGAAACCACTTGAACCGTGGTAAAAACCTAGTTTATTTGCGTACAGTCTAATATACGTGTTGTGTGCATTCATTGACGTGACGCAAACCGAATATATATATGCAATACACAACTGTATCGTGTGCGACAGTTGTAGTGCCGGTATGGGATGATGCTACACCACATCTTCAAATGGCACGAACACCAAATACAATCGGATGCATCGTGTTTGACATTTTGAAATCACTATATAACGTTGCTCTGTAGTATCTAGTTATGTTGAAAGTATCCTTACTGCGCAGTTGGCTGCGATTTCATTGTGGAAATCAATGTAGTTCGACGGATAGTCATTGTTACTGAAGTATTCAATAACCCAGTCTTGTTAATATCGTCTCTGCTTTTATGTAGTTTACCTTCCCTTGTATCGGCCATAGATGCTAGCGTCCCAAAACATGCTCGTGCGACATCAATGACAACGCGTGCACTCGTCACCGGTGGCTTTGTTCTACATGTCCTGAGAGTCTCATATCTGCTTGTTGCGGAATTGTATACATACCAATCTGTTTTATCGTTACACCACCTCCCTGCACCTGAGCAGCGAAAACGAAAGTGCGGCTCTTAATGGCGCGCCAACTCGCCGACCAAATGACGCTAGAAGCGGATACCTATGGGCCAACTCTACTGCGATCTATGGACATCCAGTATGCGCAGATCCAGCCAGAGGTTAGTGGCTAATGGGATTGTGATGTAGTCTAGAGTGGTGCTTATATTGTAATTGTATATATGTATATGTGTATGTATGTGTATGAATATGTATTATATATGTTTATGTATATGTATCTATATATATATATATATATATATATATATATATATAT